GTGTACCTACTCAAGCACGCCCCACAAAATTGATGATTACTTATAAAAAATCCAAAAAGTAGAGCTGACCAGGAACTTTCTCTGGGCGAAAGGATATAAACGCAAGATATATCAACGCAAGATTATATTTTTTAGCTTTTCGAAAGCACTACACGAAGTTCGTATTCGTTCGTGTACACTACACGTGATATTCATGGTGAGCAAACATCTTTATCTGCATTAAAAAGATAACTGGAGTAATTATTATCAAAGATTTAAAAACTAATTTTAGAAAACAAATAAAAATAAAGTTTTTTTACACTTAATCCAAGTAAGTTCTTATTAAATCGTCTATTCCCATTAGAAGCTTCAAACACCACCACACCTGTCTTATAAGTTTAAACTTAGGCTGATTTGCACCAATTTACTTTAAACGTAACTATGACATTAACTGGTGATTTTTGTATAGAGTTTGACAGATTTTTGATGTTTGTTAAAGTTAAAGGAAGATGGATTATTTAAGCAAGATTGCCAAAATGCTGATCTTACTGTACCGAATCCAAATGTAGTTACGCATCTGTCCTGACCCAGCTTTGTGAAACACAATGCAAAGGTCTAATTGCTGACAGCTGACATTAACCATAATTATCACGGACCTCCCCCCTCCCCCTACAGGGTGGGGCCGAGTTACAAATAGCGCTTTAAATATTCAGGCAATTTTCCCACTACGGCGTTCTAATCCACGAAAGGTATACAATCTAGCATAGGTAAGTATACATTGTGTGTATGAAATTAGTATACAGCGTAGAGAAAACTCATTGCATGTTATTTTTATTTACTCGTATGTCAGATACATGGATTTAGTGCAAGCAGTTAAGTAGGTGAACGAAGACGATGTATTGTATTATCGTATGAGTAGAAAAGAGAGTACGATAGATAGTCAGAATGTAATGTGTGAAAGAAACGATATGATATAACACTCAAAGATTTTTAACCATCTTAGGTTGAGTTGCACCACCTTATTTTAACCGTAACAATAACGATAACCGGTGCTATTTGTATGAAGTTTGACAGATTTTTGACGAACCTTCATTTCTAACTCCTCCTATGTTCTTTTAATTTCGTTGCGGGTCCAATGGCAGTTTAACTTTTCCCCGGGACAAACTTGACCTTCATTGGTTGGGTTTTATATGGCAGTCAAGTTGTAGATCCTGGCTACACAGGAGTTGCAGTGGTGGGAACGAGAGGTGGGAATAGTCCCGTATTCGTGTGTAGTTACTTCCACTAGCCAGGTCCAATGAGGGCTATCGTTTTTATACTTAACAGTTGGCACCCCTGGCGATTGACAGGACCTTACTCTACAGTGGCGCCATCTTGATGAGTGCAAATGCGATAATCCTCCTACCACTTTAGCGCTCACAAGTTGGCGCCACTGTAGAGTAAGGTCCTGTCACTTGCTAGTGACGGTGACAGACAGTGGCGCCAACTAAAACGATAGCCCTCATTAAAAACTAACCAATGTAAGCAACTTGAAACTAGAAATTGTCAGATCTACATGCAACATTAACAAGCATACATTGTATAATAGGACAGACTTACTGCTATCGTCTTTTTAAAAAGTTGTGATTTCGAATTATTGGGGAATAGTGTCAAATAGTCTACCTATTGTTACTTAAACGATAGATAAAGAAGTAGACAACCTGAAATCTACAGCTGAATGTTTATTTAAAAGTTGTATTTGCGTATATTTTTAGCCCATTGCGTGATACGAGGCAGACATTTGTCACTCCTCCGTGGAGGATATAAATATTTGCACAGCCCCTTTAGTTGGCTGGATATCTCAAAACGGAAGTCAAGATATAAAGTTGCTGGGAACATTTATGTTTTTGTACAGGAAAAGGATGTAGCTCGTATGAGAAATTCTTTGAGAATTTAAGAAAAGATGGTCGGATTGTGTTTTCGTTTCAATTGTTTAATCATAAACTTAAACTTCATCATCATCATCATCATCATCGTATCAGCCATAGGACGTCCACTGTTGAACATAGGCTTCCCCAATGATTTCCACCTGCATTGGCACGGCAGCGCCTTCCCGCTACCTTTATGAGGTCGTCGGTCCACCTTGTGGGTGGACGTCCCTACGCTGCGCCTACGTGACTCTGAACCTTGCTGCCTTATCGGCCACTTAAACTTGGTCATTAAGTAAATTATTATTGCCACTAACGATTTTTTCAGCTCTGAGGTTTTCAGTTCGATTCTCAAATGTTTTATCAATTTCTATAAATATTGTTAACCACACAATAAGAAGTCGCCAAAAAAAAAGTGTAAGTTTGAAGCCCAAAAATTGGAACTCCGTCAAAATAATTCATTACCTTTACATTCAGACGAAAATACAAAATAATAATTCCAATGTAAACACCGTATGAATACCAACTAGCTGTGAGCAATGTTTACCACACGTGACAGTGACGAGGTGCGTGACATTAGGCGGGGTCACGCATTTGTCACGCCACTTGGCGAGACGCGAATTTTAGCCTAGAATTTACGTGAACCCTATTTCCTTGCTGTGCAAACAATTGCTTTAAGTGTACCTTTGATAAGTGATATATTTTGGTAAACAATATTTTTTTTTTTTTAGATTTTGTGTTTCTAAAGATGTCTCATGTGAAGAGCACTTTGGTATTTTCAGTAAAAAAAGTTATCCACTCTTGAAATTATTTAAAATTATCTTCATTTAAAAAATCTCTACTATAAGACCAGTATGCCCTTCACAAGATATACTACTTAAGGTAGGCTTTTTGTAGGTAGGGGAGCGAGGGGCTTATGTAATAGTTTTCATGAAAAGTAACATTTATCTTTTTTTTATGTGACAGGAGGCGAACGAGCAGACGGATCACCTGATGGTAAGATCTTAAGATCTATTGATTAAAATGCTACTAAATAAAGATCTTCATTAATAAAGTAGAAGTTAAATAAACTGTCAATTTACTAGGAAAATGTTTAAAAAAATATCGCAATCACGTGTGATTTTATGAAGGAACCTCAAAACACTTTCCCTTGAAACAGGTCTTACGAACAAGATGAGAGGCTGACTTATATCATACGCACCGAGTAAAGTAGCAGAACACACATCGCGTGACAGCGTGACGTAAGCTAAGGCTTTGTCACGTAGCCTAAGTACGGGCGCAAACAGTATTTGCTGTTCCAAAATATATCAGTGATTTTAGTGTGACTCTACATATTCACGAGTATCTGGGACTTATTTGTGAAGTATTTAAGCTCTTATTTGGGCTGTGTTTATGGAAGACACTTGCCTGTGTTGTTTTATTTAACACTAGGTTTCGTCAGCGGCTTTACCCCCGTAAATTTTTGGGCTTTTGAAAACCAGGATACGAACTATCCTATCTTCTTCCCTAGGTCTTAATCTATACTAATATTATAAATGCGAAAGTAACTCTGTCTGTCTGTCTGTCTGGCTGTCTGTCTGTCTCGCTTTCACGCCTAAACCATTGAACTGATTTTGATGAAATTTGGCATAAAGATAGTTTGAGTCCCGGGAAAGGACATAGGATAGTTTTTATCCCGGTTTTTGAAACAGGGACGCGCGCGATAAAGTTTTTCTGTGACAGACAAAATTCCACGCGGGCAAAGCCGCGGGCTGAAAGCTAGTTTGTCATATACAGGATTTGCGCTAAACGCGTTTTCTTACATCAGATCACAAAGCCACTGGCTGAGATTATAAAATGATATACAGACAGAAATGAGTTACTTTTCTATTTACAATATTATGAGGACAGGCATTGGCCTACCCATTCCAGAATAGTCCTGTTCCTGAATTCACATAATTTAGGCAGGCAATGAACCAGGTGAAAAAAATCTCAACCCCAGCCTATTCAGTATTCCGTCTCGGCCTAAGGGTGGGGGGCCGTAAAAAACCACCCAATATTATAATTAAAGCAAACGGCACCTTTTCAATTGGTCTGAGTTGGAGTTGAGGGTGATTTTATAACGACAGCCGTTCGGGCTGCCCGGTCTTATCTAAAACTGGGGTACCGATAGCAAAAAAGTTCGCCAGTTAGTGCCTTTTTATTGTGATGCGGATTTTGATACACGTGCGGAACGCCCGCATGCTTCAACCACACCAACGCGTGCAGATCGCAATCCAACGTGTGGTTTAACCATACCAACGTGTGGTTAAAGCTTTACGCGGGCTAAACATCGGAACAACATGTATGTATGTATCCGCACGCGTGCCGAAATCCGCATCACAGGAAAAAGGCACTTACGAATAAAATCCCTATTTATTAAGATTTTTTTAGGTGATGTGTGTTTTTTTAAGTCATTCTAGGTTAATACTGTCAGTGCACAGTTGAAATTCTGGCAGGTAAATATAATCCTATACTAACACATGATTGATAAAAAATCAACCCATAAAAGGGTTTTACTGATATTTAATAATGTTTTATTGATAATCCTTGTATCATAAGGGATGACAATGCTATAACTCAATTATCAACATCGGATTCAGCGTTGTTTTCATCCATTATGAGTTAGTTTTAAGCGTGTCAGTCCCAGTGGATTAAAGAAAAACTTGATTTGGTTTTTTAAACATGAAGAATACCACTTAAAGTGAAGAACACTAATAGCGAAGTTTCTTCACTAAGAAAACTTAATCCTTCTGGGAATATCAAATTTGAAAGATACTTTATAATTTACTTCTTTGACTTTTTTGCTGACCGTATTCAATCGGAAAGTTATTTTTAGGGAACTTCCAAGTTAAACTTAATAACTTTTATGCCCTAATTGCTTCGTGCCCCAAGTTTTAGCACTCCTTACAGTCTTTTGTAGTGAAATCGGGAGTTTTACAGTGCACTTTTGCAGTTTTGAAACTAAAATCACTTATTTTATAAAGAAAGTATACTTCAAGCATAGAACAGAAATTGATAAAATTGAATAATGCATCAGAATAGAAAGCTTAGAGATAAAATAATGGAATTTGTTTACTTGAGTCTACTACTTACCATAAGAACCATGGGTAAGTAGGTACTTTTGGACCAATCAACTTTAAATACAAGGGTTTCATTGGAGGCGAAACTGTAGATCCTGGTTATACAGGAGTTGCAGTGGCGGGAACGATATTATTAGAGGTGGTATTAGTCCCGTAGGTTTTTGGATCCCTATCTAATTGGCAAGCAACTAATTTTTTTAGTGTGACACTAACAGTTCAAGATTGATTTTAAATTTACCTCACTAACCTTAGAGATCTATTTTTTTATGCATGACAAGGCAGGTATTATTAGAGATCTATATTTTTTATGCATGACCGCAGTCGCACCTGGTATTAAGTGAGATGCAGTCTAGGATGGTACATATATATCTGGCCTGTAAGTTTGTTGCGGCGCTTCTTCTTAGCACTTGCCAAATGTTTGTCTCGAAGCGCTGGTAGGGCAAAAAAAGAATTAGACATGTATAGGCTCCTTAAGAGCATTTGACGATTTGCAAGTACCTACTAATTTAATTAGTCTAAACAAATAAAGAAAATTTTGATTTTGATCTTGATTTTAAGTGCCTATTCACTCTCGATTTGAAAACGCCTTGAAAATGCGAACTATTCACGTTTAGTAGGTATTAAAAATAATTTCACACTGTTTTTCGTGCACGAATGCAAGATTAGCTTACCTACTGTGATTCTATAAAATGCCTGTATGTCATAACCCTAGCACACAATGTTGCCAGCCGTTGCAAAACTCCCGTATTTTCACCCTTTCACTTAGATTTATTTTCCAGCAAAGGTGCAGTGCGCATTCAGCATTGTCCATACAACATGTAGACAGAGGTTTACGATTTTAAAACGGCGAAAATATTAACTTTGACTCCGCGTTTTGGGAATATATGAGATGGTTTATGTGATGTGCTTATTTTAACAAAAAGGTGACTGGATTTATGTACGCTGGTTTTAGTAAACTAAGGATTATAAAGGTTGTTGTTAAAGGTTGTTATGTGCAGACACGCGTAAAACCAAATGGTGTATAAATAGTCGAATATGTTAACTATTTTGTTTTTTAAATGAAAGTCAAATGTGGTGTTGGGTGATTTACGGTTTATTTATAATGTATCTACGTAGCAGTTTTTAAAAATTTGTGACTTTTTAGCATGCTTTCTAGTTTCTATACTACAAGTATTTCTAAGTTTCATATTGTCATAGGTCCCATTTATGTGTCGTATTAACTTTGTATTTCTGTGTACCATACCATACCCATACATTTCTGTCACAAGTACAGGGGGCTACTCCAAAACGCTGTTTACGTAGTTTCGGGTCTATCTGTCACTGTCGCTCATGCTGAGACCTAGCTTCGTGTGAGAGAGATGGCAACATTAGAAACTTCGGAAAACGTTTTTCGGAGTAGCCCCGCTGATAACAGTGCATCAGACTATACTTTTTTGTTGCAAAATCGCCCCAATTGCAACTACATACGGTGTCATAGTGTTTAACATGATGTACCGTCGCTTGTACCACATAAAATCAAAAGCCTCTTCCCCTTAGGCCCGGATTCCACCGAAGCGGAGCGGAGAAGAGCGGAGAGGTGACAAGACTAGAGGAGATGTGTGGGCTGTGCGTAGCTGTCAGCTGTCAGTCTATTGCTATCTATGAAACATCGCACCGCTCCGCATAGCTCCTCACCGCACCAAAAATGAAAATCAAAAATATTTTATTTTTAGACAGTGGTATAATCACTAGTGAGTGGCACTTATGAACGTCAAAATACAGTTAAAAAATGGTAGCCCTTAAGAGGCATTTTACATGTCTCTTTATCTTTTGGGTCCTACCAGCGCTCCGCTCCCCGCACCGCTCAGCACAGCTCTGCTTCGCGCCGCTGTCAAATTCTATAGAAAAACAAGTCCGCCTGACAATTCTCCATTTCCACCGCTGTAGAGCGGAGTGGAGATGAGGAAATAATGAAATCTGATTGGTTATTTAAAACACTTCTCTTCTCCGCTACATTGTGGTGGAAAGTGGGCTTTAATCGGGTTAAAACAACATTCCTTCGATTAGACTCCAAAAATGATTGCGCCATCCCAAAACAACGTTTTCTAATATAAGCTTCGAACAATTTTAAAGATAAACCAGTTTTGTTTACTCCGCGTTATAATATTAACGTTTTGGAAGAAAAATCACCACATATTTGAGATAAAATCGTACTCTTGTTGTTAGTTCTGAGCCATTTGCTCTAACGTTCTGGGATTTAAGAGTTCTGTGGAAATTCTAAGCGTTTGTACCAAGAAATTGTATTAACGGGGCTTTTGTTTAGATTCTCAGTCATATTATGTAAAGTATGTATTTTCAGTTGAGACAGGCCGCGCTTCTATTTGAAGGCGAATCACAAACAAAAGATTCAAGGTTATGATATTCCGTGCTCTAGTATAAACTTTTCTTAGTTTGGGACTAGATGGCGATGTGATGTTTTAGGGTGGGTTTCACCATCTTACTTTAACTTTGACAAACGTCAAAAATCTGTCAAATTCCATACAAAAAGCACCGGTTATCGTCATAGTTACCGTTAAAGTTAGGTGGTGCAACTCAGCCAGAAGAATATTTATTAGATATGTAATTACTTAGGCTGAGTTGCACCACCTAACTTTGACCGTAACTTTGACGATAACCATAATCGGTGTTTTATGTTTGGAGTTTGACAGATTTTTAACGTTTGTATAAGTTAAAGTAAGATGGTGCAACCCAGCCTTAGAGTTGAACCAACCCAGGATGCACACTGGTTTAAAATGTCCTTAGTAATCGATGCTGGCTTAACTTTTGGTATTAAGGGAGGTAGTGTTCGTTATTTTAGTTACCTAACTAGTTATTATTAAAACCTTGACAGGCAATAGAGGAATTAACGACACTAGCAAACAAGAAAAATACTGGAAAAGTAATCCCACCAAAAACATTCTGTAAAAATTTCCATCCCATTAGTACGCCGGCTGCGCTCGATTCGGATATAATGACGTCACGCGGCCTTGCGTACGTTGACTTTGAGCGGCAAAAACGGCCTATGTTTATTACTTAATATCTTCGTAAGTAGTGGTCCGATTTGGATAATTCAAAAAGACATATCTTTCTTATGTCTTAAAGATTAACGTAGATACTAGTTTTATTGAATTTTCTACAACAGTAGGCGGTGGGATTCGAATCCGCGTTCCTTGGATTTCGAGTCGGCCAGTCCGACCCATTCATCGTTCGGCTATCGTGGCTATAATTTTTTTTTACCCAGTCGATCGAATCGAATGCGTTTGACGTACTTACATTCAGATTACGCCCCGATTCTATTACGTGGTCTACACGCACGCGGAACGGTGAAAAATGTATGAAATAATAAATGCGAGCAGCCCATAGGCAGGCCAGATCCGCACGCGTTTCAAAATCCACATGACAGGAAAAAGGCACTTATGAATAAAATCCTTATTAACTAACTATCATTTTTTTTGGTGATATGTGATTTTTATAAGTCACACTATGATTACTGTCAGTGCACAGTTGAAATATCTGGCAAATAAGATCTTATAGATATGATTGATTTTTCTACCACTCACCACACACAAGGCGCTGTAAGCAGGCCGCTACCAACCGGGAAACATGGAAAGCATTGGACGAGGCCTATGTTCAGTAGTGGACGGCTGAGACGATGATAATGTTTTGTTTTACGGATGACAATGCTATAATCGAGCCAACATCGGTTTCAGCGTTGTTTTCATCCATTATGATTTAGTTTCACGCATGTCAAGTTAATTTCAAGTCTCAGTGGATTAAAGAAAAACTTGATTTGGTTTTTTAAACATGAAGAATACCACTTAAAGTGAAGAACACTAATAGCGAAGTTTCTTCACTAAGAAAACTTTAATCCTTCTGGGAATATGAAATGTGAAAGATACTTTATAATTTACTTCTTTGACTTTTTTGCTGACCGTATTCAATCGGAAAGTTATTTTTAGGGAACTTCCAAGTTAAACTTAATAACTTTTATGCCCTAATTGCTTCGTGCTCCAAGTTTTAGCACTCCTTACAGTCTTTTGTAGTGAAATCGGGAGTTTTACAGTGCACTTTTGCAGTTTTGAAACTAAAATCACTTATTTTATAAAGAAAGTATACTTCAAGCATAAAACAGAAATTGATAAAATTGAATAATGCATCAGAATAGAAAGCTTATAGATAAAATATTGGAATTTGTTAACTAGATTCTTCAAACTTTTGGACCAATTAACCTTCAATGCGTTTCAATGGAGGCCAAACTGTAGATCCTGTCTATGCAGCAGTTGCAGATATGGGAACGAGATTATTAGAGGTGGTATTAGTCCTGTATGTTTTTAAGTCCCTAGTGGCAAGCAATTAATCTTTTTATTAGTGTCAAACAAACAATTCAAGATTTTAAAATCAGCCCACTAAATCCAGAGATTCACTTTTAGTAGTGAAAATAATTTCACACTGATTTTCGTGCACAAATCCAAGATTAGCTTATCTACTGTGATTCTATAAAACGCCTGTATGTCATAACCCCAGCACACAATGTTGCCAGCCGTTGCAAAACTCCCGTATTTTCACCCTTTCACTTAGATTTATATTCCAGCAAAGGTGCAGTGCGCATTCAGCATTGTCCATACAACATGTAGACAGAGGTTTACGATTTTAAAACGGCGAAAATATTAACTTTGACTCCGCGTTTTGGGAATATATGAGATGGTTTATGTGATGTGCTTATTTTAACAAAAAGGTGACTGGATTTATGTATGCTGGTTTCAGTAAACTAAGGATTATAAAGGATATTAAACTTTGTATTATGTGCAGACACGCATGAAACCAAATGGTGAATAAATATTCGAATATGTAAACTATTTTGTTTTTTAAATGACGGTTTATTTATAGTGTATACGTAGCAGTTTTTAAAAATTTGTGGCTTTTTAGCATGCTTTCCATCTTGTCATAGAGGTCCCATTTATGTGTCGTATTAATCTTATAATTCTGAGTACCATACCCATACATTTC